TACCAGATAGGCTTGGCACCACTGAGCTACATCCCCGGCCCCTAATATATATATATTTTTTGGTACCAGGGATCAAACTCAGGAACTTGCCTTTGCAAGGCAGGTGGCGGAACCACTAAGCTAAATCCCCAGCCCCCTCTTTTTAAATTAAGCATATTCTTTCAGACTTCTGCTGGGATTTTTTAGTGAAACCATTTACCACTGACTTGATTCAGTTGGTTTTAGAAATTGTTTAGGAATTGTAGTATCCCTGGAATTGCTTTAAAATTCTTAAAACTTGCATTTTTTTTGGAGAGGGGCTTTTAGAATAGAGGTAATCCAGTCATGTGTTTTCACATAGTACATACTAGTCAAAATGTAGTGCCTAAATTTTAGAGATTTAGATTTCAGAGCCTGATTTAAAACTCAGGATTTGACAAATAATCTTTTTTTTTTTTTTTGGTACCGGGGATCGAACTCAGGACCTTGCACTTGCGAGGCAGGCAGCAGAACCACTGAGCTAAATCCCTGGGCCAGGATTTGGCAAATAAAGTAATCAAAATGAAATGAGCTGGGTGCGGTTGTGAACACCTGTAATCCTAGCACTCAGGAGGCTGAGGCAGGATGATTGCCACAAGATCAAGGCCAGCTTGAGCTGCATAGTGCATTTGAGGCCAGCCTGGACTACAGAGTGAGACCTTGTCTCAAAAAACAAACAAAAAACTGGAAAAAAGTTAAATATGAAATCTCTTAAATTTGTGATTTCAGGCAATTTTCTCATAGTGGACAGTTCTTCATAGCTACTTTAAATCAGTTTTATAATCTGCAGTCTATACAAAACTTAATCATAAAGATAAATCTTGAAGGTTTTATGTAAGAATTGTAGATCTATAATATATTTTAACAACATTATTTCTTGAAAAACAGGGTTCTATGGTCAGGTAAATGTGGGAAGCCACAAGTTTAAAAAACAGGGAAAAATTGAAGGAATATAGGATAGTCAGAACTCTTCATGTTAAAATGCCTTGTGATTTATCTTATGAGGGAACATTTCTCAAGTACTTTGACCATAGAAATGTTTTCCCAGAATACCTATTAAAGATTCTGAATATTTCCTACGAATGAATTTAGGAAAATGGATTGTCAGCCTTTCTGTTTACAATAGAGAAATTTGAGGCCCAGAGAATTCATGTAATTGGCTTAAGATATGTTGTTTGTCTTCCACTCTATTTCTGTGTCATGTTCATGGTCAGATGTTATCATACTTCCTTGGTATAATAGATCTACATTTACAGAGCTCCAAAGATAGAGGAGGAGTTATATTACTTTTATTTACGTTAAGTATATTGAGGCATAGTTGACATAAAATAAATTTCTCCCATTTTAAGTGTGCAGTTCAGTGACTTTTGTCAATGTATATATTTGTGTAATCACCAGCCAATAAAAATTATAGAACATTTCTATTACTTCCTCAATACTCTCCTTAAACCACTAATCTTTTTCTATGAATGTATTTTGCCTTATTTTGATTGCCATTTAAATTAAATCATACAGTTTGCGGCTTTTTTTGTCTATAAGATTTTACTTGGAATATTTTTTTTGAGATTCATGTGTGTCATTTCATCTCTTTAATCAACTGCATACTATTCCACTGTGTGAATATATACCACATTTTGTATATTCATTTATCAGTTAGTAGGCATTTTGTTTCCAAAGTTTGGCTTTTACTCTAAACATTCATGTACAGATCTTTTAATGAACAAGGGCTTTCATTTTGGGGATTAGATATCTTGGTAGTAGAATTATTTGACATATGGGAGGCATAGGTTTAACTTTGTAAGAAACTGACAAACTTTCTAAAATGTCTGTCCCATTTTATATCCCCACCAGCAATATATGAGTTTTCAGTTACTTTACATTTGACCAAGCTTCTGGTACTGTCAGTTGATATATTTCATTGTACATATCTAATTTATATATCTTCTTTAGTGAAGTATTTATTTGTACCTTTTACTCATTTATAGAAATTTGTTTTTCTTGTTCAGTTTTTAGAGTATTTGGATATAAGTCTTTTATATTTTGCAAATATTTTTTATTAGTCTATGGTTGTCTTTCATTTTTTAAAAGTGTCTTTCAAAGAACAGAAGTTTTGGGTTGGGTATTTAGCTCAGTGGTGCCACGCCTGCCTCGCAAGTGCAAGGTCCTGAGTTCGATCCCTGGTACTGGAAAAAAAAATAGAACAGAAGGTTTTTCTTTTTCTTTTTGTGGTACTGGGTATTGAACTACATATATCCTTAGCCCTTCTTATATCTTATTTTCAGATAGGATCTTCCTAAACTGTTAAGTTGCACAGATTGGGCCCAAATTTAAGATCCTTCTACCTTAGCCTCCAGAGTGCTGGGATTACAGGTGTGCACCAGTATCCCTGGCTATAACAGAGTTTTCTGTGAAGCTCTATTTATCAGTTTTGTCTTAAAGTTTATGCTTTTTGTGTACAACCAAGAAATCCTTGTCTAACACAAGATCACAAAGATTTTTTTCCCATATTTTTGTCTTATGTTTTATAGTTGTGTTTTATATTTATTTTTTTAATCCATTTTCAGTTAATTTTTATATTATCTTTGGTTTAGGTTGAGTTCATTTTTTACACGTTGATATCCAGTTGTTCCAGTAGTATTTTTCCCCATTGGATTACCTTGTTACACAATTGATCATATATGTATGTATGATCTATTTCTGGACTTTACTATGTGAGCTCTCCAAATTTGCTCTCAGTTTTTTGAAATTGTTGGCTAGCTTTTTCATATAAATTTTAGAATCAGCTTCTCAATTACTAGAACGAAGACTACTGGGTTTTGCCTGAGATTATATTGAATCTGTAGATCAGTTTTGGGAAGACATGACTTAAGAGCATTGAGCCCTGTAATCAAGGAATGCAGTAGTTCTCTCCACTTATTTGAGTGTAGTTTCTCATAGCATTTTTTGGGGTACTTTTAAGTATATATGTCTGGCATAACTTGTTAGTAATTTTTTCTTGTAGATTTCATGGTTCTTGATATTATTTTAAATTGTATGTTTTAAAATTTCAATTTCCACTTGTTTGTTGCTAGTGAATAGAAAGAAACTGCATTTTTACACTTTGTTTTGTATCCTGAACCTTGCTAAATTCAGTTAACAAATTTAGTGACTTTTTTGAGATTCTTTGAGATTTTCTATATGATGATGTTGTCTACAAATAAAGATAGGTTAACTTTTTCCTTTCCAATTTTTTTTTGTATTAAATTCTTTTATTGGTACATTGTAGGTATACAACACAATTACATTTCTCATTGGGAATTGTACCTTTATATAATGCATCT